AGTTCAAATGACTTTAACTTTCGCCTCGAAGTTTCACTAGCAATATTCCCTCGTTTCAACAAGAAGAAAGCAAAATTGTGAAAGAGCTAACACTTGTTCTCCGAACATTGTTGGTAACGCAAAAAAAGTTGAAATGTCGTTGCCGGCAAGAGAAAGAGCAAATGTGAAGAGGAAAAGGAATGGTTCGATTCAAGCCAGTTTCGTCTTTACTTACTGGTCGATGGGAGCGGAAATGACTCAGTAGGCGCTACTTCCCATTTAAAGTCACATATCATATTTGCAAGTAATATGAAGAGTGTCAACATACGAAACTGCAAGTGCACCCGATACCGAAGGGAAAAGCGGAGAAGACGTCGAAAGTGCTCAAGTTACAAACCACTGGGAAGTTGGGGAAAATCCTAAGAAAGTGGTACGTGAGATGGAGGAGGTCTTAATTTCCTCGCGATTTTTCCCTTTTCAGGCGTTTTGCGCTATATACCTCCTCCTCCCGCACTTCCGCTCGACAGCTCGATCGGACTAGGAGGAGAACGGGGGTTGTTTCAAGCCACCTTCTAGGAAGGGATCACGCAGGCAGTTGATTTCGACGACTGGATGAGCGGGGGTCAAAGGGAAACTGAATAGAGGCGAGAGACCAGACGAGGGATGAGAGAACAGGAAAGCAAGCAAGACTACGAGACACCAACACTTCAGTTAATGTGGGGCTTGACTAAAAGGCCTTCAACGTGCTTGCTCCATACGCTCGATCCACGAAAAGGATGTGACATCTGTTGGAGAAACTGATTGCCTCCCGTGTAAACCAACACATCAAGTTAGCCAATTGAGAACTGTGCTTTTGATGTAGTTTGTGGAATGTAGGCCATGACTCCTGGTGCGACGTCGTGCGTAAAGTAAGAGGCACTTCCTAGCTAGACAATTTCGCACGCAGTGCAGCTTTGAAACGTCCTGGAACGTCCTGCTCTCAGAAATTTCCCCCTTATACACCCCCCCCCCCTACATGCGCCATCCTACCTATCCCACCTATATCATCCTAAACTCTCCGCAACCAGGACACATCACTACTTGGGAATTTCGGTCGTGTTCGTACGACCCCCTCCCCTCTAAGAGATGACTTGATGCGACCCCCCTTGTCCGATCAAGCGGGAGGGGGGGGGAGGGTTGGAGGATTGGAGGGGGGAGGAGATGCACATAAGACGCGGGAAAAATCGCGAGGGGATTAGGACTACCCTTCCGCATCTCACCTACCACTTTCAAACGATTTTCCCAACTTCCAAAGAGTTTCTCCAGAATTTTCCGAAAATTTTCCACTTTTTCCCCAAGAATTTTGCTGTCGGGTGGGAGGAGAGGGGGGTTGTTTGGGATTTTGATCGCCATACGACAGGGGCGAAAGGTTTCCCGTTTCACTTGTGCTATACAGCTCTCTCGCAGTTTTTCAGGAAGCGAGCGTTAGGTAGCATCTGGCGATTCCCTGACAGGGGATCGTATTTTGTCGCTGGGGGTGGGGTGCGTCGTAATTTGGTCTGCGAAAAAAAAATTTGATAGTTTGTTCTTCTTGTTCAGCAGCAACGCTATAAAGGCAGGTCGTATTTGCTCGTTGTTAGGGAGAGGGGATGTATTTGTTTCTGTCTTTTGAGAGGGTTGGTTTTCCGTGGTTTTCCCTGTAATTTATGTGCACATATTTGTCCCTCGCCCGTTCGTAGAGCATTCGGAGGGCATATGTAGAGGGAATTTCCTCAAAGGCCGCACCTGTCTATTGGCGACAAATGCCTTCTTAAACAACCGGGAACAACTCTTTCGCTACACTTACAAAAGCTTAGATGTACTGTACTACATAAAAGTTCGTAAGAACGAATCCCGTAAGAGCCAACCAGCTCTTTAGTTTCCCCGTTGTGGCTCAACTGGAAAATAAATGACCATGAAAGTAAAAACACAGATTTGAACAACAGGAACGGAAATCAGTGCAAAGAGCGGCGATTTTCAAATTTTTCTGCATTTCCTCTGCTAATTGGTTCATGATAAGTACAAACTACGTCACTACGCAGGAAATTCTCGACAATGTTTCCAATTTTGAGAACGCTCTCTTCTTCACGGACGATTTCTCACACAGAAACCAGAATCAAAAGATAAGATTCCAATTAGACGAAGTCGTTACAGGAAGTGCTGCAGTGCCAGCGATGACGTTGTCGTACAAATGCAGTAAAGGTTCCGACCACTCCATAAAAAACTTCCAACCAGATCAGAGAACATACGCAGTTCAATGTTCAATCACGTGCCATGTTCAACGCAAGCCCGAACAAACCGTCCTCAGACAGGGTGGAACATGGGCCAAATTGACCCCTTATGATATGAATATGAGTATTTGAGTATTTACTAATTTTTAGCGCACACTGTTAGACCGTAAAATAAATAAATAAATATGAGAGCAGCCTGGCTCAAAAACGGTTGGCGAGTTCTTCTACACCGCAGTGTTCACCCTTTACATACCATTGCCGGAACCTGTAGATGAACTCTTAAAAGTTTTTTTTTCGCAGCAACGAATTTTCGTCACCGGTGGTGATTCGAAGCCTTTACCTGATATGCCGACTCCTTGCTGGGAACAGGAAAGCTTACGCTCGCCGCCCCTATGAGCAACAACTGGACGAAAGAAAGCGGCGCCTACGATTGGTTAGCCGCGGAACGGCATATCCCAGAGGGGGGGGGCTCCCAATTGAGTTAACGAGCAATCGTCATAGGAAACCGTCTACTACTCCACCTATCGCTAATCGCAAATTATGCCTTCAATGGTGAGGAACGGGGTGAAGAGAAGAAGACGTTGCAAAATCAACCCATCACTACATCATTGTCACAAATACGTTCCTTTTACCGCTCAACATCATCTTTTTTTCAGAGATGACCATGACCCGAAGTCGTAGAAACAACACCGATCTCCACCAGTAAGTAGGAAAGATGGGTGCATGGATGTTTGCGCAAAAAAGTGCAAACTGTGTCTTCAAATGTAAATCAAATCGCCCCTTGATTGGCAGTCAGCTCGGCAGTAATTTCTTGAAAAATGTACACAAAATTACGAAAAATTCAAAATGCCTTCGGCGATTACAAGCGGATGGAGGGACTCAAATAGGAGTTTGCTAGTTGATTCACCACTGAAGAAGGAAGCAGAAGAATTTGTTAGAAATGTCCTAAATGAGATGCAATTGACGGTCAACTTTGGACGAGCATACAGTAAATGGAGACGCAGAGACGCTCAACGCACAAGCGAGAAAACAGACAAGCACACGTGGTGACATCAGCAAAGATAGTGGATATCCATTCATTTTGGAATAAAGAGCTTTGGCTGTACTACCTTTTCAGGTTCCGAAACGATACTCTACGGCGGTGGAGAGAAAATCTCACCGGCAGCGTGCAAGCGGCGCGTGCAGATCGATGTCGCGGCAATAGCGCGGCGAGGAGGGACCAATGGCCAGCGCCGTTATCACTGCGCTTCAGTAGATCAGCTCTTTGTCAGTTTTGTTCTTCTCCAGTCCGAAACGAAAGAGCGAAAAATGGAAACACTTGGTATCCACAGATAAATCAGCAGTGTTCAACTAAAAAAAATGTTTTCTGTGTTCACAATATGCTTACCTTACATGTTTTCCATGTCACGGTGCTGTTTGCTATTCATAATCCTACACTTCTCGCCTTCCTCCCCCCTGCTCAATGCCCCGGTATTGTACACAATTCACTTCAATTCATTTCAATTCAATTCAATTCAAGGAGAAGTATGAGTGGATTTATTGTCATTGAACTGCGATTGTACGATGCCGACCCTTGCTCCACTTTGCTGCGCTTGCGGCAACAGCCAAGACGCGACGCGCGTGTGCCGCCGGCGAGTTTTTCCGCGGAACCACGCTATGCACCCAAGTTGTGCAATAGTACTACTTCTGTCAAGAGTGAGACTAAGAGAAAGTTCAATGACTCAACAAATCAGACATGTACGGCCCATTTGAGACGAAAAAATAAAGCACACGGCACTGATGATCCTCTTTCCGTAAGCGCGATCGACTCCCATTCTCATTCCCAGGAGTATTCCCACAGTCCAATGAGTACATATTCATGGGAATGCACATATACATGAGAACGAGAATCACTGTCGGGAATTTTGATTGATTTCTCTTAACTAAATACGTGGAGAATTCAATAATTTAACTATGGTTAAAAACGATGCGATATTGGCCCTATTGACTGTGCCTCAAGAAACGGCGGGCGAACTGAACTAGGCACGTGCATATTATAATAACTTTTTTTCAGTCACATCAACTGTTAACCCATAATAATATTACAACGGGTCGTGTTGTTTTCAGTACTGCTATTTGTCGTCGCAGTTCAGCGAAAGGAAATTATCAGATAATTCTCAGTTAGGGGCGGAACGCTTCGTTCCTAGAGCTCGGCTTGTATTGAGACACTCATACAAAACGCTAGCATACTTGCTGGCAAAGCATGTCTTGCCGTTGGGGAAAATTCCTGCAAAGTACGACCCTCTCGGGGGTTCTCCTCTGATCTGAACCCTCCCCCTTTTCCAAACCCCAGTTACCTAATGTTTTCGGGTACCCTATCTTCATTCCAGTTTTGCCAAAAGAATTTCATTTCCCTCCTCTCCGGGTGTAGGTTGGGACTCCACGAGAGGTCACGGCTGCCATGTCTCGCCTCGCCGTGCGCGGCGATTGCAGCCTGATTTTATTTGACCAATATGGTCGTGCGATTAAGATCCCGGTCCCTTCACATAGTTCTGGCATCACGCAAATCTGCTGGGATTTTTCCAAACCAGAATTTTCAATGGGACGACAGTATTTTTGAATGGCAGCTGTGTTATTCGACGGATTGCTGTATTTCCTCAACACGACCTACTTTTACCGTCTGGCCGTAAATCTTAAACCTTTCAATACCTTACAATTAAGGTGGAAAAACAAGATCCCCTGAAAGAATTTTTGTAGATTGCTGATGTATTCTCTAAATATTATTTCTATGTAAATGGGCGTTGTTTTGGACTAATAGTTGAACATCGGGCCTGCTCCTTTCATAGTTTTCACACCTGCAAGTAATAAAGCAGGCTGTTGGAGATTTCATGGACTATGCAAATGAAAAAAACATAGCGAAAGCATCGCGGGGCCCACCTCTCGTCCGCCGCGGCGGCGGCAGGCTGACCTCTCGTGGAGTCCTAACCGTTCCCCCTCCTCTCCCCCAACCCGCCGAAAAAAAGCGAGCTAGGCGGGGAAATACATAGCACGCTTCGAAGCCGGAGAAACCGACGAAGGTCAAAACCTCTCAACAACTAAAAACAGCTCGAATGCGATAGAAAACCCCCGCTCATCCCCCAGCGAGCAGACATCACCCCCTCGCTGGGGATTTCCAACGTAGGACATGCCTTGCTGGCAGGTGAAAGGTGAGAGTCCCAGCTGAAGCTGCGTTCCGGCCATGACGCAGCGGTCATGATGCCCTTTCTTTCTTTTGTGGAGGATGGAGCGCTAATTTAACTTAGGAGAGGGCATTTCGGTAGTTCGCTAGTTCAAAAAGCGTAATTTAGCACTCGCTGTTCAATACGGTACCTTTTTTGTTCTCGTGAACTCTGTAAAGCCATCTCGAGCTGCGAAATAAATACAAGGTGGCTATACAAGCTTCGCTAGTACCAGTAGGTGCTCCTGGATGTGGAGCGATACTTCCCACTCACGGCCATGGCGCGCAATAATAGTGTTTCTTAGCTAGTTGACTAGGCAGACAGGCATGCAGATGGCTAGTCGACTTGAGAGATGCAGACGCAGAAAGAGTTGAAGAAATTGATGAGTGGCAGCACTGCTACGTTGAGTGGATTGGGTCCTGGTGCGAATAGCTACGTACGTCACCTCACGCAAAGCCTATTCCGTATATTTCGTCGTATTCTCCACGACTGAAAAGTAACGCTCTACACGCGGCTGTCCCCAATAAGCCAATCCCAGCTGAGAGCTGGTCAAATTCTCCAATAGTTCAAATGCTGTCAGAGATATTTATCACGCCCTGGCCGCAGCTCAGGAGATCCAAGTTGTTGTGCCGCGCCAGAAATGACGCTGGAAATAGCACAAATATGTTGCATCCGCATCAGGACCTAAATAGTTTTGCGCGAATGTGTTACATTATGTCGAAGCTGAGAACTGCCCCTCGTACGCCAACCCAACTCGGATCTCCTGATGCACCCGTGAGTAAAATTAGATACCTTTGAAAATTGTTGTTCACTGGTGACACATTTATTCTCCAGTTCCACGACTTTCGATTTCCAAAGCTGCTGATCCGCACGAAGCATTTCGTTCATTTCCTGCTCCGCTTTCAGCTCTGCTGTTACCTGAACAGGGACTCCAATAGCTCGTAGAACGTAGATATCATTTGTTGAAGAGAAGATTGAAAGAACAACCGAAAATGCCTAAATAAGGCCCTAACACCTGACAAGCAGATGAAAAAGCCAGACACCGCCTGCGGGGGCGCGAGAGCTTGGACAAACTAAGAGAAAATGAAAACGACAGAGTCGCTACGACAGGAGACGGATGCAGCGCCATTCATGCCTATTCTCTGTCCGCCAGAGCGTATCTGCCCCAGAAGGGTGGGCTCACTTCTATGGGTGGCGCTACTTCGACCATCAGCATTCGCAGCCCCCTCTTCACCCACTGCAGAGTTGCGAAGGTGGCAAAAACCATAACAATTGCGCAATTAGGCTATCACTAGAACGAAAAGAAACCACCCATTTAGTTAATTACGGAATGCGTCTCTGAGCCAATTCCACTGTTCTATGTGTAAGGAGGGGGGGGAAGGCGTCACGAAATAGGAGTTGCTGAAGCTACTCGCTAAAGATTCGAGGAATAGGGCTGAGATGGGGGAGGAGAAAACACTATATGTGGGAAACTGTCTAACGGCTTGGGAATCTCGACGTTCTCTTGGATATTAAGTTCACTAGGAGTTCCGTTTTGGGTATGTCGTCCTCATTATATTTGGTCGAGAAAAAATGAATTCCGTAAGGTAAAAAAACAATTAAGTACCTTGGCAAGTTTGTTAACCGTTTGTGAATGTTTCTTTTCATTGGCTTGTTTCGTTGCCGTCGCCTCTTGCACTTCTTTTCGCAGCTCCTTGCATTCGTTCGTAGACTGCGACAATTTTGATTCCAAGTCATCTATCTTGAATTATTTTTATTTATTTATAAATGTTATAAGAAAAATGTAATATATGTTGAGAAGCTATAAATCTTATGAATCAGGTTACTAAAGGAACAAGTTTCCCTCAACAAGTTTCCTTACTTGTGCCTGCGCCATCTTCTCCATGTTGTTCATAGCTCGTTCCATGTCAGCTAAGCGGGCCTAGAACATTGTAGAATACCCACGAAAGTAAACTCATAGAAATATAGAGGGCCTCAAAAATCTCACCTCAAAATACATTCGTTGACTTTCGAGCTGGCTAGTCAGTAGACATGTGTACTCCAATTTTATTCCATCCAACTTCTCCTTTTTCTCGTCCGACTCTGCCTTCAATCAAATACTTCACTAGCCGTATCGTAACAGCTTCTGAGGAAGTATATCCCAAGCAATTCCTGTACATTTACAAGTGGGTCATTTGGTTATTTGGTGAGGCACTTTTGTGTAGTCCCTACTTTTTCTCCGTACGAGAACAATTTTAAAGCTCGAAATATTACGAATTTGGGCGCAATACGACTCGATGGGGGCTCGAAATTGCACTCGTACAGGCCATCTTGTGAAGATCCTGTAAATTTCTGTAACTAAAAAGCCCACTTGTACCACTCCGTTTACAGGTACGCCTCTCAACACGAACTAGCAAAAGGAACTAGCGAAAGTACAAAATGCCCACTCCCCCTTACAGAACCCGAGTTTCTTCGCTATGCCGTTTCTTGTTCAAGCTGCACAGCATTCAATTGAACGATAGCAACGAAAACTGATGACAGGCACCGAATATCAGTTACCAGCCAAAGGAATTCAAGCTCCCCTGCACCAAAATGTCCCACCTTAGTGCAATTGTGCCCATTTTCGTTGTTAAAGCGAACATTGACGGCAGGGCTATGTACTTTGCCACCACCTGCCTACGAGTTGCATCCGAACACAGGCAGTTTCAAAAGCACGGCCCTGCTCTTGTCCATTTCTCAAGCAAAAACTTCATTGAACGTCTGCTCAGATCTCTGGATCACTACTTTTAGCTTCAGCTTTAGTTTTTTTGTGTATTTCGGAGTGGAACTCGAGGGACATCGTCAAAGAACTTACCGTACCTCACGATCACCTCGTTGATATTCCACAACCTTTCCTTCTACGTCCGATTGTATGAGTCGATGAACGTAGTTGTCGCCAGCATAGTCCCACACTCTCTGGCCTCCGACTTGAAGACAAAACGTGTGTGATGTAAGCTCGAAGTGCCTGAATTTCCGTTACAGTTAGGCCATATGAAACAAGGCCAGCTAGCTCTTATCTGACTTATGCCTTCCTAACGACTATACCTGCATGCTTAACTAATAGGGCAATCCAGGGAAAATATTCCGCGCTTGGAAAATACTCAAATGACTTTAAAATTTACAGAAACCATTTTTGATGGCTCTAGAGCTAAAAGTTAAGGCCCACTTCATGCTGATCGTGTGCGAAGGGCCAGGTCCACAATTGTGCCTTCTCATTGATGCGCTCTCTCTCGCTCTGGTGAATTTTTTGAACCGCCCCCCCCCTCCCCTGTGAGTGGCCGCTAAACAAACAAATAAAAAAGAAATAAGTAAAGACCTGTAGGCATGGCCTTCAGCATAACGACCGCAACCGATATTTCCACAGATCAGGCATATCCACAGATCCGAACTTTGCCCACATATGGAACAACGTTGTTCGGCCACGAGCTCCGGAGTTTGGATGTAACGGCACACAGGGCACCTTTGATACCAACAATTACTAGTAGAATTCAAAAGACTTCAAAACAACTACTAGAAATTCAAAAGACTTCAAAAAATGAACTCACGTAGTGTCAGTCCACTGTTCAATACAACCGGCATGAAACGTATGATTGCAAAGGATAGAGACCACGCTATCATCCATGCGTTCCAACACACACAACCACATGTAGGCAGTTCTAGTTAGCCAGGTGTTGATTGAGCCAGCAGGCATCACTTTGACTGTTCCCGAACTATGGTAATAACGTTGCAACCTTCGTCATTCGGAAGCCTATAACAAGATAAAGGAAAACGCTTTTGCCCCATCAATCCTTTTTGGGATCCGGACACACGAAAGACCTACATATAACACCCTTTTTCATCCTGCCTATACCTATAAAACCGTAGTCCTATTAACATCCTTGATAACAAAACCGCTGAAACGTACGCATTCTATCTTGTCCACGAACAGCAATCTGCACCGGTTTGGTTCCAAGCTATTGAATTGCGTCCCATTAAACTCGTCGTAGAAAACGACAGCATCGTTCTGCAATACTATGAATAACAACCGAAAGCTACTGTTACTTTCACCATGTCCGCTGCTACGATGACACAATATTAATATGGAAAAGAGCCTCAAAACTTTAGTATTTAGTGATATAGCAAAGAAAAAAACGAATATGCGTTAATCTCCAAAATAGCAATAATAAATATACGCACAAAATAAAATCAGCAAAGGCATACAATAGCGCCGATAGCGCTTTCTTGCGTTCCAAAAAGTAATAGAGCCGATTCTCAAGAAACCGGGAAGCCGGCTGTAGTACTGCTACTGATTCGGCACCGATCCTTGTTCAGCTCAAGGATCATTCAAATCATTGCAAAAACAATTCGAGTTCGAACATACGCAAAAAAAAGGGCGTAAAATGAGAGCCAGGTGCCGTACCTAAACGCAGGCATGCGGCCTTCCGATCGTGATAAACCCTACTGCTAAAAAAACAACAAAATAACACCCAAGAATTGCTTAATTATGAGCAAAACTCTGTCCATAGGTGGGTGTCGAATCTGCGTTCATGCATGCGAGTTCGTTATCCATCATTCCACCACAGCCGCTCTTTTCCATCCAGCTTGAGGGCTTTCTACGGGTTTGGTGGTATAGTGGATAGCGCACTCGCGCCATAACTGTGCGGTGTGGGTTCGTGTCCCAGTCGGGTATCAGACTATCACTGTTATCCATAACACAAGCACTCTTGAGATCACTTCCCAAGCGTGAACTATAGCGTTATGTTATTATGATAAGACATCTTCAATTAATAAGTTACGAAAGTGGAAATAGTCATCAGAAACTCACATGAGTTTTGAATTTCAGAATAATCATATATTCATTTGGAGTCGAATCCCTGATGATTTTTATTCGTTCTATCGTCTGCATTCCGGGACCTAGAACGAATAGAAGCGCTATCTATTAGGAGGCTTACACGCTCACTAAGCATACCTATGAAGAGGAGAATTTCCCTGAGCGTGATCTGTGATGGTACAGCTAGCATACAAAGCATTCGACAGTGAACTTCTCGACCCAAGCGTTCATCACTGCAAATCAAACACGAATTGAGCGGAACTACCGAGTTAGTCATAGGAACCTTCATAACTGGCCAGTTTCGAAACTCAAACGAACGCAAGGTGTATCAAAAGCTGAGGTAGCAACCAGGTAAATTTAGAGAAAATCTCACTTATACTTGAAGAAGTGGAGGATTCCTTCTGTTTTCTCCACAAAAGGATTCCCGTAGTAGTAAGTGACCGTATCAGGAACTGAAACATAATAGAGGAAGTGGTACATCAGCTAATACGAATTCACACTGTGTAAAATTTTGTGTGAAAATTTAGAATTTGAAAATTTAGAATTTTATATCTGTAAAAGAAAACACTTTCGCAGTGCCTGTAAGAATAACATATGAAATACTTACTCTGCCAGATCACTGATAAGCCTCTAGAAAGTCGCGATGACTGCGGATGTTCCGCGTCGGACGTCGAACTTGTAGCATCCATACATTTGTCGCCTTCCAGTGACTCCACCACCACTTCCGAGTATGTGCGCCGGCCACGAAAATTAGTGAGCGGCCGCGAGATGTCCTAGATAGAGCACCGTGATATCGGTAACTATACAATTTCGGAAAAACTTTTAAGAAACTAAGAATCTTTGTATAAAAATCAGCGAAAATTAACAAACGAGTAAAACGGCGAAAACAAGAACCGATCATCACGGCCTTGAAATGGCAGTAAATTCGCTTGCTCATCATACAGAGGTCCAAAAGTCACCCACACCAGAAGTCAGTCACCTCCCCAACCATTCTAAAACCTCGGCGATTATGCACAAAACCCTATCCCTCTACGAGAACCCCCGAAGTTTTTACTCCTCTCTTGGCCACATAAAGTTATAATGAAGTTTCTGATAAGATGGTTAACCTGTATGGCCTATGCTCAGAAAAGCACGAAACCGAAAATATTGCGTATCCTAACTCTGTTTCACTTTTTTTTTTCAGAAATGTACAATGTTTAGAGACGTTCGTTATCTATTCCTTTCTATAGTGCAAGTGGACTTGTAGATAGTTGGCACGCATCCCGAATAGGCATCCAATCGGGAGAAGTTGCGTAGCATAACAAAAAGAGCGGACCCCCGCCTCAGAGTGGGGCAAACACTGGAGAAAAAGAAGAAGAAGGAGAATTCAATGTTCTAGAGATGAAACTCAATAACTGCACTAAGATGTAACCTAGGAGTGATCTTACAACGTCACCCCAGGTATGCACGTGCAAACTCACCGCCTTAAATGAGGCAACAGTTTTATAGAAGAGTAACCCCGTAACAAAGGTTAGCAGACCGAGAAGACGAGCACTTTTCCAGGTTCAAAGAGTAGAACCTTCTTCAGAGGGAACTTACGTGTGAACTATGCTTGTCGATTGTCGTTGGCGCTAGAGGGGCATCATCTGCGCCATCATTTCTGCTACTAACTCCAACTGGAGGACTGCGTTTCTTGAGGCCAGACATGATCCGTCTTCTGTTCCTTTCTATAGTCGACGGAGACTGTTCTGCAACGTAACTAAATCCATAAAATATGAAAATATTGAGGAAGTCACAAATTTAGCAAGAAAAATTGTTAAGCAATAAGTGCGGATCGCATTGCGCCACATCCCTTCTACCCTCCCTTCATCAACATGTTTGTAGAGCTTTGACCGGCATTTCTTTGTACCAAAATCCTCCGATAAATCTCTGAATATCATACGTCACCAGTCCCTGCTCATGCAAACTAAACAAAGCAGCCAGATTATATGTACCGCGGCTATAGATAAACATGCTCATTGTCAGTCAAACTGAAATTGAGCTTAGACTTTTCGGGCTCCACCCCTCCATCCCGCAATCCCTTTCAGCAACACTCCACAATCTTATCTGGGTGAAATTAGCTTCCGAACTATGTTGGACGCAGATCTTACGGACACAAGCAATGAGGCACAATGTGAATATTAAAGACGGTCTCCCTGCTCTAAAGTTCGTGGGCATCCTTCTTCAAACTTCGAATAGGAACTCTAGCGTTTCGCAGTATCCATGATTTCAACTTTCGCGGGTTTAGGCAGCGTTCAGACTTCGCGACTGCAGCGCTCCGGATGCGCGCTCGACTCTATCGATGCAGTTGAAAGCGTGGAAGCGCTACCGTTGTGAAGTCTGAACACTGCCTTACAGTAGGTAACAAAGAAGGGCCTCCACAGAAGGCAGCTCTGACGCCTCCCTAGTTGCCCCGCCCACCAAAGCTCAAAGGCTATTTCCCGCCACAATCTCAAAGTCTTTTACAAAGCGTCTCTCTCGTTTTTTTCACATCTATCTGGATTGTCCAACGAATGAGCCGAATAAGCGGATAAGTGCTGCGGACAGATCGACAGGATATCTTTTGCTGCATTAAAACGGTCAGCCCCGGCAGGACACCGTCCATTCTCATCTTAGAGCGCCAGCCGTCGTTCCTAGCGGTTATCTACGATATTCTTACTTTTATTTTTATTATTTATTATCATACCTTTTTTTACTTTCATTGGTTTTCAGGTGAACGCCACTATCCACAATGTGCAATCGCGGGGTTTCTTTTCCAATCAAGCGCTATACTGTATTATGTAAAGAACGGGGTTCCACACCTTACAGGCTCATGTCTACCCATACGTGGTGTAGCATGGCTTATATGGAGTGGTCCCGCATTACCGACCTTTAAGAAGAATGCGGGTCCAACGTGCTGAATGGATGTCAGTCAGCGCTGACACCAGCGCGAAGTATTCATACCCTATCATACCCTATCATGACCCTATGTATTAAAGCAGAAGTTGACTGTGTGTTTGTCGACGGACCATATAGAGGAATCAGCTGCCGCCCCACAATCTGGGCTCGGGACTATTCTTCGGCTGATGAGCGGGCTCTTTGCAAAACGTCCCAAAAACACCTTAAACGCCGTCAATTTTGGATGGTTGGGGGAGTTTGAAGCATCGTTGAAAATTATACCAATACACACAACTAAGCGTCCACTTTGGATGGGGGTGAGGGCATGTTGAAATTATACCGAATACACACAAACTGAGCCTCGCACACAATAGACGGGGCGTGCACCGAAGTGAGTAGTGAACGACAAAAATTTCGTAAAATTCCTCCGGAAGATCACAGGGATCGGGGACAAAATCATTCTCTATACACCACGTACGTTAGACTACACCCACAACGGCGTGGGGGGCATACCCAAATGTGAGGGGGCGGCGTTGTTCGGCTGCGCGGGCGGCCTACCCGCAAATTAATATTTCAAGTATCAAGATCTCGCGACTACTCGCGCGCGGGGAAACCGACTCTAGTTAAGAATGGGCACGCGCGATAAACAGAAAGAGGCACACCCGAACGGCAGTCTTCTTGCGTACAGAAAGAGCCCGGCAGATTGCAGTCGGCGGGCGTTTGTCTGGGTAGGCGGGGACCAAGTAAAAATTTCGAAGTTCGAACCCGGAACCCCGAGCAGCGGGAAAACGTGGAGTAAGAAGTGGGTCGAGGTTGATTCGATCGATTTTCGCGAGCAGTGTTTGGATGAACCCGCTCTAGTGAAGTGTTCGACTTCGAATTGTTGAGTTAGCAGAAAAATTCGACGTGGGCTGCATTCTAGGGGGGGGGGGGGGGGCGAGGGACGGGTAACACAAGTGAAGAGACACCCCAGCGGATGAGATGTGCGCCGAGTCGGCGGCGCCTGCTGCCAAAGTTCATAATATATCATAGTCGCAAGGATAAAAAGGTCATAATCGAAAATTCATAACTTACTACCAATTTTTTGCATTTATTTATTTGTTTATTTACCTGCTATTCATTCTACAACAACTCAAATACACATATACTTCCACTTCAGTTCATCCACTACCGCCATTCCACCCCTCGCCTTTACGAAAATTTCACAACCGTCCACTAGGGGGGGGGGGGTATATACCAAATGTGAAACGGTAATGTTCTGGAATTGCAAAAAAAATTTTCTGAGCGAGATACCCGCCGAAGAGCGGGGCGATCAGACTGGAGCCTTCAGATTGATCGAATGCCGGGACCCACTACACACGCATAAGGAGGATCGCGCCGAAGCGGCGCTTCCAACTAGCGTGATAGAAAAAAATGGGAAAGAGAAAAAGGGAGGTAGCCAGTCAAATCATACCCATTCAGTCAATTGGCGCTTCCAAAACGTCTATTCCGCCATTCTCTCGTTTTCCTGAACAGCTCTTGGAGGAAGAGGAGGCCGAGGACCCTTATTACACCAAGAACAGTATTGAAAACTCTCTTTCACTTGAAAGACCCCCTCGTAAAGTGTGTAGTCCTTGAGAATATAAGGTATCGAGAGAACCACCAAATCAAGTTTTGACGCATTCGTTAACACGAAAATTTGACCAGCATTAAGGTATCAGGAACCCTACCAACATCAAGTTTTGACGATTCCGCTTAAACGAAAATATTGCACCAGCACCGTTCTTCAGCTCATACGCAACTGGCAAAGCAGACTTTTTTTTGAAGATCGATACCACTCTTTTTCACTCAAATTTCTAGTTCGGCGATAATCGACTCCAGAATAAATGGATCAGAATCCACAAAACCCTTGTCTTCTACCTTGTGAGCATTCTTCATTAACAAAAGAAAAAAAACAGCATTGCTGCTTCCTTTCAAGCTGTACTACAACATGTAACATACATTCACAGCACACACAAAGGCAGAAATTTTGTACAAAATCGAGCAATAAATAACCCGTTATCTACATAAATAACCGTCTATTGAGACTACTTGTAAGTTCAATCATGGACCAGAAGCTCTAAAAAATATCACGAGATTTGTCAGCACGATATTATTAAACATTCCAAAGGTTGTTTATTAATTACGTTGTAATTACACCATCGCCATTCCCGCGAGACGGACAAGACAATCGTAATTTGTCGCGTCGTCAAGCGCGGCGCATCGTGCAGCGGCGCGCTGCAAAGGCTCGATACGTGTCAGTTTGTCAATTGATAGGGAACTCGTATGAATTCAATAAACGTGTAGGACAATTCGTTCACGGGGCGGGCGCTCCCACCACGCCTTCGTTGCATATTACGATTGTCCTGTCACATTCCTCGCGATTCCCAAGATAAATTCAGAGAACTCTTATGAAACTGCCAATAGAACAAATATCGTATCGATAGCAGCAGGTATTGGAGCTCCGATACTATAAACCCTTCACGACCGCTTTAAATCTTTTCACAAGAAATTGTCTCGGGGTAGATTTGGCCAGAAACTCGGGGGAGAAAAACTCTTCGATCGGCTCGGTACAAACCCGCGGCATTATATCCCTGCTTCCCCGCACGCGACTTGGGCCAATCGGTTTCGCGTCAAGGAGATGTCAAAATCGTACTCGCAGTTCGACCTACCATCTTCTTGCTAAATTTGTCTCTCTTGACAAACTTCGACAGAAATCCGGCTCAAATTTTAGCAAGTGGGGTCGTAAAGGGTGAGTAGTTTCCAAATTCCCTTTGAGATGAAGTGCAAGACACAGTTGATCACTAGTTAATGTGTACAAGGCGAAAAGAAAAATGACAAGAAATGAACTAGTAAACACGTTGCGAGAATAACGATAGCACTTCAATTTACATATTTACAGCTTAAAAATGAACAAAGTACAACGAATTACGTCAAAACCATGGACCGATATCGATGTACGATGCCGTTATTATTATTTAGAGCTACATTGTCAATAGCAGCAGCAAGAGATGTGTCGCTATAGTCGCCAAAAGAGCCCTCAGCTAGAACAGGACACTTAGGAAGAAAGTACGACACTGCCTCCCATATGTGATCGCGGTTCAGCCGTGATAGGAAAGTAGCTCGGAGCTAAATGAGATCAGATGGACCATAAATATCTGAACAGATCTATTTGTTGAGTGATGTTTCAAGTACCTTTTTGTTTTGTTTTTCCTGTACTAGTAACCTCGGGGATATTAGGAGGGGTCCTTGGGCAGAAATATAGCTTCCGCAATGGGGATGAGAACTTTCCCCATTTCGAAGGGGAGGAGCTTGAGATTACGTGACAAATAGAACATTCGGGAGGATCCTGGCGCGACAGGTCAGAGCGTAGAGAAACAGAAAGAAAGCGCGATGACATTGATGGATGCAAACAACATGTCGCGAGCAAATGGATAAACTTTTTTGTTCAAAGGGGGATTCAGGGGGAAGAACTACTAACCATGCGTGAAGAGCTTGAATGTATAATGTTACAATGGCCTCACAATGTCATTCAGGCGTGAGAGCGCAGAGAAAAAGGAAGTTGGCGCTATTAACGGGATTGAGTTAAGTTGTCCGAAGAACAGGGTTCCAAGGTTGGTGAACGAATTTCAACTGCGCTAATCAAACTCGGATAACGTCAATCCCAGCTCTGCACAGAGTCCTTTGGGGCCTCCCCGTCTTCAGGGTTAATAGTGCCGATTTTTCTCCCTTGTCTGGTTCACAGACACAACATGGAGATCAGCACGACGCGAACGGTAACCTCAACCGGCACTTATCACAATGAGGGGTACTCCAAGAGATAAGCTAGACGACAGGGCGAAATTGAACAGAAATCGGAAAGGATTCTAGCTATGGGACCCTGAACTCAGGGAACCCGAACTGTGAAAAGGAAAGACAATAAGTAGGGACGAGCTTGACCTACAAATCAGAACGGAGGGTTCTTTGGAGCTAATCTCTGATAACAAGTGGCATTAAAGGCACGAAATCTGAAAAAAAACAGCAAAAGCTGAGCGCTTTCCACCGTTTTTTCACAGGAATACGGTGAAATAGGGAGACCAAGTTTCCACTTCGACGTTATGATGTATGGAAAATAAGAAACAAATAAATAAAAATAGCATGAGTAAAACCTGCAAACCTGCTGCTCTGCACGACTTATTAAACCAGCTTGTGAAGCGCGAGAAGCAATTGTTTCCGCAGATATGAGAAAAAGGACATCATCCAAAACTTTTTCAGCGTTGATGGCAAACTAAAACAAAAAAACGTCAATATTACTTTAAGCACAGATATCTGTTGAAACTCTTCCAGTTAAAGAAGATTAATGGGAGCAGTTCGGCGACGGGGAGGGGGGGGGGTGTACGTTGTAGTCCTTATTGCCTTACAAGAGGTGACAGCTATTCCTACAAGAGGTGACAAGTAGTTTCTATAATTTTGACTGGTTCACTTCATGGCTTCGCAATAAGTCAAGCTATCTACACGCTGGCTTGACACGACCATGGAAAGTAGTCAGAGTGCAAGTGGAAGCTGCCCTCACCGTCAAGCCGAAATGTGCCGAATAATGATCTGATAGATTATAATCTCAAGTCTTCGAGGTTTTTCAGTGGAATCAATACAGCACTCAAAATTAGAAATTTTATTATTTAGCCAACATAATACTCCAGCCATAGAAAAATTCACATACCTTTTCAAAAGAAGAGCTGAGGGCGCCGCGTATAGTTTGAAGATTAATTACACTGTTAAGTCCAGAAGATAAAAGGAACGATTGAAAATCACCGCCCAGTCGTAAAAGAGACAGAGACACAACGTTTGCAGCGATATGTGGAAGCACTCTCTGAAAAAGGTGTTTTAGAGGGAGACTCGTGAGTATCACAAAAACAATAGCGCTGATGCAGTATAGGTCCGCAGTCAATAGAAAGTAGATTTCCACCTAAACCTTGTTGGGAAACGGCTCCGAAACGGCCAATTGACTTTACACGAAATGCATGAATTCTTTTTGGCATAAAACTTTTCCATCATCAACCACATCCCCCTCCTAAAGCTGCGTTCATACTATGCGGCAGCGTCAACCAGCGACCACTAGTGTTCCGAGCGTCCGGCAGCGTCAGCGACTAGGAAGGTATAGATATCGATCAGTTGCCACCAGCGTCTACCAGCGTCCACCTGCGACCGTCAGCGTCCACCAGAGACCAGCAGCGCCTCGAGAGCTAGAGAAGTGTAGGTATCGATCAGTTAGCAGATAAACAGCCTCCTATTGCCCCATTCTCTCCACAAGCAGTTCGCTACCCTACTATCTTCCCCAACTCTATCACTGTCAGCTACCCTCCTATCGCCCAATACTCTCTGCCAGCAGTCTGCCGCCCTCTTATCCCCCAAGCTCTACATTTTTTAACGCTGCTGGACGCTGGTGGAAGTTGGTAGGAAG